AATTGCCTTAGTGAGGGTGACCTGCCCCTTTTATCCTTTCTTCTAATGCCCACTGCCTATCTTGCCTACATGGCCAAAAAGTGGGAAAGAAGCCTTACAGGGGGTCCCTCAATTCCCTGGAGACAGGTAACCTTGGCAACAGATTGGAGGAGGGGGAAGTGCTCTAGAGGTATTAGGATTTTATTTCCTCTTGAATCAGCTCCATCTTCCTGACCCAATCATTCATTACCTACACTGATTGTCCTTTTGCCCCCGGCCTCAATCCCCCTTCTGAGAAAGGAACCCTTGGTGTGGTAAGGGGAAATGGACAATGACTGCTCTGGCTGCTTCAGGCTGAGAGGAGGTTATGTAGGGCAAGCAGTTTGGATTTCCCTTTTAGGAATGTGTTGGGCCTGTCAAGTGGTCCGTGGTAAAAACCTGGTTCAGAAAGAAGAGACTATAAAGTGATCTGGAAGATGAGTGCTTCTATGAGAGAAACAAGAAGTCATGAGTATTGGAATGAGATTAATACAAAATAAATGTCACATGCATCTGGAACATGTCAATGAATATTAGCCTCGTATCCTGTCTGTTCTATGACGACCTGTTATCTCAAATTAATTCTGGTTGTTATATTAGAAGTTGTACTTTTGTAAGGCATTAACAGACAATAGTTAAAAAGTTTACAAGAAAAAATATTAAAATCAAATTAACAAGAGTAAAAACACTGAATTCGTCTAATAGCTATGAACCAAGAAACATAATTTTTATAATCCCAAATCTATACTTCAAACTTTAGTTTGAAGAACATCAGCTTAGTAAAATGTTCTTCTAAACCTTGTATTTTAAAGACTTATATACTTGGAAAATATAAATACAACTAGTACACAAAGAAGCCGGTAAACACCACAGTCACACTGATATTCTTATGTTAACTGAGTTGCTTTTAAAGAAAAATTCAGAATCTGTAATGTAGGTTAATATTCTAAAATAACAGTTGTTGTTTAACCAGAATTGTATAGACCCTAATTCTTTTAAGACTAGTTTCTCTAAAGGAAAAAAAAAAGACACAAGAAATTACTTTATTGGATAGCAGCAGATAAGTGTTTTAAGAAATTTTTGTTACTTTAACACAAAGAGGATTAAACTTTGATTTATATCAGTGTATTAATATTTGACCTTCAGAAAAACCTTAAATAGCTTTAACAGATTGTGCCAATTATAGCCAACTTAGTCACAAACTTTTTGAGATTTACCCTCCAACAATCAGCACAAATTTTAATATCTTTACTAACTTATTTAGACATTCTACAACTTTTACTTTCCCACATGAAAGACATTCTGATCCAGAAACATTTTTTTTTTACCTCTACTTTCATACTAGAACCTTCTTATATTTCCATACCTAGAACCTTCTTATATTTCTTTTCTAACTGTTGGCCCATTTTAAATTCACATTTTGAAACAATTCTTAGGAAATTTCTGAATTTAAACAAATTACTGTGCTTTAATAATATGATCTACTTTATGTTTTTATAGTACTTTAATTGAAATCCAACTGAAACTGTTTGTATTCTTTATATGTAGAATTACACCTGATAGAATCTTAACTCTTAGTAACCTTGTTGTTGGTGAAGACACAAAAACAAAGCATTCTTAAACCTTTTTCCATTTACAAATTTATGAAACACATTTAATGTTTAAATATGTTACCTTATGGAATTTAAAAAGTCAAGAGTACTTGATTTGATATTTAGTAGTTGAAATTTTAGCATTTTAACTTCACAGATTAATCAGATATGTCCTCTAACAAACACATTTATGAAGATTAATCCCATGATGTTAAATTTAATTTTAACTGCAAAAACAGAAATATAAAAAAAGTATTAAGTATTAACCATCTTTTCCCTGTTAAAGAAAAATCCTAGAACCAATAGATGTCACATTCTAGACATTTTATAGAAACCACACTTCATTTATTGCCTGACCACTTAGAAAAACTTGTGAGTTAACAATTTTAAAAATATCTTTACTCTCATATGTTTGCCCAATTTAAATTGAACTACTTTTAAAATGAACTAAAGCGTATTTGGATCCATTTCTCACTTAAATTTTGATTTTTGAACACTCATTTATATACCAATTTTGATATCACATACATCATATATGGACACAGAACATATGTAGATATAACAATACAATACACAGGTGTATATACATACATAAAAGAGATGGGAAACAAAGATCTTGTAGCTTTTCATAGGTAGATCTCCACAGGTAGGAGACAATGCTTCAGATGTTTTATTAAAGTCTCTATTAGATTTAACCTATTAGAAATTAAAATAGAGTCTATCAGAATTTTACATTTTGACTTAAATAAAGGTCAGGCCAGTTCAGTTGGATGCAGTCATGATGGACACTGAAATCAAAGGTTCAGGTGACCATTTGTCCTTGATGGATATCAGATATATTCCCAACATACATGTCTATGTCCTTCTTAGGATTTTGTGAGAGGAGATTTTTTTCCATGTATTTGAGAAATTGACTCTGAACAAGATGAAGTGTAACAACATCTATAGTTAGATAAAATAAATCTAATCAGAAAAAATATATTAATTTAGGTGTTCAGAATCAAATGCGAATTCACCATAAAACAATGAGCTCAAAAATATAGAAATTAAACAACAACAACAACAAAAACCCACAAGAGTTCTAAAACACAGCCATAATTACTCTAGTAAAGGAGTATGCAAAACATCTTTATCAGATCAGAGTGCACTTTTAGGTATTTAGAGAATGTGAGAGTCCTGAAATACTTAGATAAATATTCTCAAGGTAAATAAGACTTGTGTATATGAGATCATTCCATTTTCCTCCCTATGCTGTAGTGTTTATGGAGAAACTTGTTAAGAAAGCAGGTGGTAGAGTGCAAGAACAGGTAAGATAACCAGCCATTTAGGTTCCACAGGGGCTTGAATTTAAAAATGACATATTCCCCCCACCCCCAATTTGGTCTCAAACTGGTTTTAGATAATTGCTTCTGTAGCTTACATTTCAGATGTAAGCCTTGGAAGGGGTTGGGGATCGATCCATCTGGCAGAAGGCTATTAAGTAATGAAAGCCACTGTATTGAGACTGAAAGGCAAAACCTTATGCATAGGGCATTTTAACTATTTTTTCTTTAGTAAAATCAGTCTCTTAAGCCTGTAGTATTATAACTTATGTTTCCTCTGGAGACTATTTCCCATTCCTGCAGTTGGTAATGAGACCATATTTGAATGCAGAAAATCATCAGACATCTCCTTTTTCCACCTATGATTAGGTCCTTTCCCAGGCCTGGTAGAAGACAATGAGGCACTTTTTTGAGTGGGTTAAACTGCTCCCAATTTTTCAGTATTCAGGCTAGTGGTGCACCTGGCATAACTGTTGAGAAAGACCTTCCCATCTTAGTTCATATCTTGTTAGGGACATCTCTGTAGATGAGCTTGTGAAGGCCAACAAACCCATCTCTCACTACCTGGTCCTGCCAAATTTATTGCTGCCTTATTGGCAAGAATGAACAAAGTCCCAGTTTGCCAAAGGACAAAGACCTTGGAGGATTCAGACTCACTGGCACAACTGACCTCCTCCTGTCACTATTAAACTTCCAAATGTGATGACCCATGGCGGTTGGAGGAGGCAACATATAATGGAATATTTTCCTCTGCTCTGTGGGCTAAAGGAATCTCCAGAGGATAAGGACATCTAGTGGTTGTTGGACACTGACTATCCTTTTCTTGAAGTAGTGAATTGAAAACACTTTCTTTTTAACAGTCAAAGAATCTCAGGAGCACAGAAACAACAAGGAAGAGAATCCCTAAAACTTATAAGGGATTAATATGTTAATATAGAGAATCTACGCATGTCCTTATGAACAATTCCATTTAAAATGTTCCTCTCTCGAAGCTAGAGTCTGATCGACTAGAGTCTGATCAGGGAGGGGAGGAGAGTGCTTGGGAGGAGAGAGTGTGGGAGAGTACAGTTGGGCTCAAATGGAGGTATTTGTCACTGGGAGGTTCGCAGAGCACCTTTTCATTGCCCAGTCACCCTAAAATACTTTATTAGTGCTACCAGGGGGTTGGTACAACCCACTCTCCTCACACACTTCAGGGAGGGGCCTGAAGACCAGGAAAAGGATTCCTTCTGGCCAAAGCGACCGGCTCAAAGTGAATCAATCTTCACTGGCTCAAGGGGAGCATCTCTTCTATACTACATAAAGGGAGCAAGATCCCATCTACATTGGCTTCAGGTAAGTGAGTCTGAATCTACTACGCTGGTTCAAGGTGAGCTAGTACATACAGTGAGAAGGAGAGGGAGGTACAGTGGTCCAGGCCTTGGAGAGGATGGCTGCTGGGCTCCAGCCATAGCCCTGAGGCCTCCTTCCTCTCAAAAACAAAACATACAAACAATAACAACAACAACAACAAACAAAAAAACACAGCCTTTTTTTTTATCTTTGAAACATCAATTTTATTATACAATTTTTGAAAAAGAAATGAAGAATAAATTTCTCCTGGTGCATGGGAGAAAGGACAAAAAGCAGGGCAGGGGAAAGTGTCCCAGGGAAGTCTCTATGATGTGTCTTC